ATCAACATCAACAGAAACTGGTGATGAACTGGTGATGTTGACGCTTGCCAGAATCAACATCAACAGAAACTGGTGATGAACTGGTGATGAACTGGTGGTGAATCAAGAAACGCTCATTTCTTTCATCAACATCATCAACCCCGTCCGAGACGAGGCTCGACGCTGGCTCTTGGGTGCCGAGGCAAGGCTGTTGGCTGCGGAAGCGACTGTTGCGGTCTGCTTGGACGGAACCTTTGGGAATGTCCTAGACATTTTTCATCTAGAGCATAGCAATTGCATTTTTTACATAAAAAACATGCCATCTGAACCTCTGAAGGCGGATTATACATATTATATGTAGTTATATCATGTTATATCACCTATTTGTTCTGAAAGATGAACAGGGCACGGCTCGCAGATCCCCCTTCGCGTTCCAACTGTGCGTTCTTAGTTGCACATCGACCGAAGAGAGGCAAAAGCAGAACCTCTGAGATCCGGGACCTATGTGGCATCCAACATCCAAACATGGAGAGATATCCAGTGGCGCGGACATGGGTGGACCATTATTTTGCTCGAAAACTTTCGATTTGGATAATACAACCACCCACCATCAACGACATATCTGAAGCCTTGTAAAGCTTCCTCAACGACAAGGGGGCCTATCATAAAGCTGTGAGATAGAGGGCAAACCACAAGGTGGTTGCGAACACTTCCATCCAAGCCATTGTATACCCTCCTCTTGCTCCTGAAACCAGGCCATTCACTCTGCGGTCCTGGCACCGAAGATGGAACCGACCGGGTTGGAATCCAAAAAGATGTCACATGCTGTGGGGTTCGACTTCTCGCCTTCGACTGGGCGAAACGCCCAGTGTCATCCCACTTTCACCTTTTGAATTCGACTTCTTGTCTTTCTCCGAAGAAACCCTGCGGCCTCCCATGTGGCGAATCATCGGGCCCATGGGGCGAAGTAGGGCATCCGGCGGAGGTTCCGGCCGTTCGACGCCGTCGTGTCTTCCGGTTTGAAGATGTGGCTGGGGAAACTGGCGGTCTGATGGGGGGAAGAAGCTGGGGATGCATGGGGGAAGGCTCGGCAGATGTCGTGCCACTGGCAAGCTTGAAGGCTCAAAACCATTGAAGTTTGGGCAGGCAACTTTTGGCTCAAAGAGTGGGTTGGCATGCGCCATGCGCAGGGCGGTGAAGAGCGCGCGTAAGTTCAGTCTGTCAGGATATTCAGAAGTCATTTCAAGGCAACTCATTTCTCAATATGTTTACCTCTTTTGTGGGCGTTTGAGACGCTGTTGACTCATGGCATCCATGGCTGTTCCGATGGTGTCCCCAGCCCATGTAGTTCCAGGCCAAGCGGATGTTGCACAGATCGGGGCAGTGGGCAGTGGATCGGCAGCAGCTTGGCCAATCTGGCCACGTTCATCAAGGGGTTCGATCCATTCTACGGGGACAGATGCAACCCCGAGAAGCTTCGAGTCGCCTACCAGTTCGAGTAGCTTGTGGTTGCTTTGGAACGTGACGGTGCGAGAGACTCCATCAATTTCAGGTTGTTCTGATGAAGCTGTGCTGAAGCAGTCAGAGTTCATAAATTTGTTGCAGAATGTTGCAGAGAACAACTCCATACAATTTAACGAACTTCTTATTGCAAGCGGCCCTGTAAGTGGCGGGCGCAGTTCGTCCGATACACGGGGCCAACAAATCCTGAATGAAACCCAATTCCTGCTGTCTGGGAACACCACCGAGATGATGGCTCATGAATCAATGGCTTTCACGTGAGACAGATTTATTAATTACTGCATGCATATAATATATATAATTACTATATATTATTATGATCATTATATATATAATACATTTATTACTCAATTCCAGTTCCACCTTTGATGACCGTTTTTGAGCTGGTTTTGCTTGGTCGTTGGATGCACAGAAACCACGCGCCGCCCTCGGAACGCCCACGGAACGCCGGGTCCACCGTCCAGCTCGGTCGGTCTTGCAGCCCATTTTGGACGTACCAGATGTTTGCAAGGAAGAAACATCGCGTGAGTTAGAGGTGCCATCGCTCAACAAAAGATTTTTCCGCAGCCAGATTCACACAGACACCTTTATCCGAAAGCCTTTTGAGTTCCAAACAGCACTTGCCCAACAAAAAGTCACCCCCCTCTTCTTGCTGTCAAAGCACCCGGATCCTATCGTTCACACCTTGAACCTTTGCGCGGACCCATCGGCCCCGGCGCAGCCCCGCGGTCGGCGGACTTGAGTGATGCACCGCGCGCGTTTGCATGGCGCGGGCATCAAATGGCGGGACGTGCCACAATACCACCGGGGGTCCCAAGTCCATGGCGATCTGGGTGGTGGTTTCAGAACATTTCATGGTCAACCTTTACTTGGGATGAACCCAATTTTTCAAGTGAGTTGAAACCACCAAGTAAGTAGCAAGTAGTGGAGATTTGGCACTCCAAATCCGCCGAATCTGCATTTGATTTCATGTTCATTGATCACCTACAGGGATGGGTGGAGTGATCAACGCATGCACTGATCGAGTTTTTGTTTTCGGCTTGAGTCCGGTCACAGGGCGACATGACCTGGTCGGTTGTACTGCTTGATTTCCTCCGTTAGATCTGGGGCCCTCACACGGCCTCCGTGGACCAGCCTCCGTGGAACGAAGCATGGAAGTGGAACATGTCCCTCCTGCTTGTCGAGGATCATTTCGAGCGAATTGCCCTAGAGGTCATGCCATCCACTTCCATGTTGAACGTTCCACTAACCTGGTACCATCGGGCGTCGTGGCAGTCGTGGCGGTCGTGGCGTCGTGGCGCCCGCCCTGTCTCGGACGCATATAGACACCCCGATAAATTCGACTTCAGGACGAGCAGCTCCGGTGATCGGGAGATTTCACCCCCCGAAGTTTTCAGATCCAAGTTTTGAAGAGGTTTTACGATCATAATCCATGTTTGTTTTTGTAATTCATCAAGAGTTATTTATACATTAGGCAAGGCATTGCAGGTCTCCGCAGGTCTCTCATTCGCAGGGCCGTTTTGACCTCGCGAAACGACCGAGGTCTTGGGGAAGCGATGTCGCTGAAGATCTTCGAGATCGACCGCAGCCTGGAAAGCTGTCAAGGTGGGGAGAGCAGAGCATGCAGAAACGGGGTCAACCAACTCGCCAACGACCTGCCAGGCCAGATTTGGGATCGAGTGAATGGCCCCGAACTTAGTGGAGTTCAGGGTCCGAAGGGAGCGAAGTGGCAGAAGCAGGAAAGCGATGGTCCCAGAACCACTGGGGCGTAAAAATTCATCCATCCAGGTGGATGTACGGAGCCCCAAAAAGAGAAGACGGAGACGTTATTCATGGGGCATGCGGGTATTCAAGATTTCTGGTGTGCTGGGCTAGCGGCACTCTTTGTGGAATATATAGATTTTTTGCGATAGTTTGATAAGATTTGATTATGATTTATGCTTTTAAAAGGCAAATCAATACAACAGGCATTTAAAGGGACGTCAACAGGGGTCAACCAGAACTTAAAGGGACGCCAATAGAAAGCAACAGGAATTTTAACAGGGAATCAGCAGAAATCAAAAGGAATTTAATGTAAAATTAACAATGAATAAATTAAAACCCGAATTGACAAAGCAAAATAGTTACAAATGGTGATACATGATGATATAAAAACACTTAAAATCGCACCAGAGCGAAAGCGCAGACACTATTAATTATTGGAGGGACTTATATTATTTAGAAACAGGAAAGCGGAGATGTTATTCAAGGAGCTGTTGTTTTTGAAGCTCAAAGGTGCAGACAGTATTTTGGGACCGTTTGCTAATCGACACGCAAAGCGTGTAGAGACTCTTCAACAATCAAGAGTCGACATTAGGGCATCCCTCAAAAGCGAGAACCATACTGTTTGTGGGCATTGATAAACATCTATCTAAAGGGCGCCCTCCAAAGTGAAAGCCTTTTTTGAATCATGTCCTCTTGTTCAAAAGGCGACTTTGGCAGCTCAGAAGATGGATGGTGGGGGAGTTCGGAAGCCGTTGGTTCTTCACCCCTCTGTCGATGGCTACACAAGATGGCTTCTTTTATGGCTACACTAAATTAAGGTCCTCCTGCCTCTCAAACACCAGCAAGTTTGGCTAGAGGCTTGGTTCTTGGTGTTAAGTTGTTCTGTCCTTGGGACAGAAGAGATGATCTAAAGTCTAGAACCAGACTTGAACCGAGCTAGACGACATGAACAAGCCTGAGCCAGAGCCCCAGAAGCAACCCCAACATTGGATTTGATCATCCCATTCAATGCCATTCAATCCCATTCAAACAAAGGACGCTTTGTGCCCCAAAAAGAGGCTTTGAGGGACAAGAGAGATCGCCAAGAATCGCTTGTAGGACTGGGCGACTTAACTGGGCGCCTCAGTTCATCACTGAGGCTACAAGTGGTGGCTCAGTGAGTTGGAGAAGACTGAGGGTGGCATCGAAGCCTTTGCTGAAGGCTACAAAATCTTTGGCTTCAACCGTGATGAAGAGAAAGGCCGGGGGGTCTAAGACCTGAAACCCGTGCCCCGGAGGTCTTGTTTGGGTGAGAACAAAGGCAGATTCAATCAGATTCATGATATCATTGAGAAAGGCATCATGGCAGAGGCGCCAGAGGTCTCTGAGAGTTCAGACCGTGTGAGAGGTCATGCCCTGCTACCGCTAGACAAAGTTCTGCAAGCAATCACTTGTGAAGCATTGAGTATCCAGCATTAACCCTTTTGTTCTTCAACCCGCTCTTTTTTTCCAAAGTTCCCCAATAAATTACAAAAGCTGGTGCACCTTTCGTAGGATCCGACAGCATCCGAGCATGTCTCCAGGGTGAATGGTGGGTGTGGCACCAAGGTGGATATGTCTACCGAGAATGGCTTCCCAACGCGAAGCAGGCCTCGGGATCCTGACCTTCGATCATGTGTGACCGCGTTGTTGGAGGACACGCGGTCGCTGCATCGTTTGGATCATCTTGGATCGTGGCCTTCGATGGGTCCCTGCGGCTTCTTTCAGGTCTTCCTCATCGGTGGCTTCAACGACTGGCAAAACAGCACGCCCTTGACCAATGAGGGCTTTGGCCGATGGAGCTTGTTCATCAAAGACAAGGCGTCGAAAAGCGGGATCGAATGGAAGGATTGGAAGGAGGAACGGATGAGCTTATTCCATGTGTTTGGATGTTTTGGTTGTGGGTTTGGCTGAACTTAATTCTCTCTCCCTGTGGATGAACTCCCTCTAGATTCTGGAAATGCTTTAACAACCACACAAATCATCGAATCTAACACAATCCAACACATTCTTGTAAATTGAAACACATCGTTTTCGCAGGCACCTAAGGCACCTAGGGGATATAGAAAGGATATAGAAGGCCTTTTATGAGTGGGTAGTTTGGCTAGTTCCCCATTAATGGGTGCGACTTGGATTTGATTCGCAGATCAATGGAAAGACATGTGTATTTCAGAGCGGTTGGGAGACCTCATGGGAGTGGTAGAAAGAATAGCTAGGCGAAACAGGGCAGTTCAAGTTCAACCTATCTCTACACTAGGTAGGATCCTTATTCCGTGAATTAAAGAATCCTTGCTCCGATCGCGATGATCCTGTTGATCCTGCCACTTCCACAGCGGGCCATCATCGCACGTCACCCACGATGGGTGACGTGAGTGTGGCCGTTTTTGTGGGTTCCCACGCGACCATCACTGGTCGCCGGGCCGGAGTTTGGGTTCGCATGGAGTGACTGCGCGAGGCAGATGGCTCTCCTGGAATCCCCCACCAGACGCAGCTGAAAGTGCGTTGGGGGGCTCAGTTGCCCAGCTTCGCGCGAAAAAGGAAGATTCCATCATGTTCCGCGGACTTGCTGGGAATTGATCTTCCAGGGATTTTCTATGACTTTCTGGAATGAAGGAACTGGAGGCCCCGAATCTCAGCAGGATTGAAGACTCTCCTGTTGTGAGGTGTCATGCATACCAAGACACTCTGTGCGAATAGAATATTTGCCTGAATTATATCCAATGTAGGCAAATATGCCATACATGGAGTGTTTAGGTGCGAACTTTTGAACATGTTTTTGACAAAGATCTGATGGAAACGTGATTGATCATGAGTTACTTGTCTCGGTGGAGGCAAAAACCGCTGCGACCTCAACTCGAGTTGAGAACATGCCCCAATCTCTCAATCCCAGGAAAAAGAACAGATCCAACTCTGAAGACATTCATGTGATAGCAACTTTTCGTGAAGGGTCACACATTTCTGCATGAGGGTATCCGAACTGGTTCTGAAATACGTTGAAAGCCGCTTTGAGCTTTGGGGATGGCTTTTCTGCGGAACCAGCTACCCGACCCACTGATATTAACCTCCAAGCGATCCAAAACCCTACTACAAAACCAAAGTTACCCAGCAAGTCTTTGCAGGTTGCTCACAGTCTTTGTGGGGCAGGGTGGATTTGTGGACGGACGAAGTACATTGTACATCTTCCAAAGTGCCGCAGTTCTGTTTGATGTTTCTAAAACATATGTCATTTGAAACATAGCTTTTCATGGCTTTTCCAACCTAGAGACCTAGAGTATGTCAGTGACACCCCACGAACAGAAAAAACTTCCATCGTCGTAGTTTCCCATCAAGGCTGATTTTCTCCACTGGATTCTGTGTATACTATAGGACACTCCTAGTAGTCGGTCCTGGTAGCGTCCTTGCTCCGTTCGAGTCGCGATGCCCTTTGTTACTAGTAGCTTCTTGTTCCTAGTAGTACGGCCAGGAGCCACTAGGATTGAGGGGGGGGGGCCACCAATCCCCCTTCACCCGGCTACGCCGGACCGAGGCGTCGAAGCCAATGATGGGTCGTGGCACGACCGAGTCCCTGCCTGGAGCAAGTTGGCCTGGCAGGCGGGGAGCTGGGGTGGATGGAGCTGCAGTTACGGCGTTGAGAAGGAGGGCACCTGGTGACTGCTCTCACTGGCACCTGTGGAGGGGCACCGGAGGGGGGCAGCACCGAGATGGAGTGAGTGAGGTTCAGAGGTTCAGAGGATTTGAGATGGAGATAGTCGAAGTAAGGATGGGCGAAGGGTCATGAAGGATTGCCCGTCTGTCCGAGTGGTGGAAAGTTTTGGGCTTCTGATTGTGAGATATTTTCATTGTGATTCTTGGCTTCTGTCTTAACAAGTCCCTGAGGCGGACATGTTTTGTTGAAGCCTTTAACTTTGAGGGAGTCAACCAAGTGTCTTTTGCGCATCCAGATGACTCATGCCATGGATGTCAGCTTCGTGGTACCCTAAGAATCCGGGCCCGAACCACTAGGAAGTGTTTGGTTTGGGTCCGGACCCCTGCCAAAAAGTTGGGTCCGACCGCTGCCATGGAGGGTCCAAGCATTGTTGAATCAGTGAGTTGGAACCCCCTTTGAGTGTCTCCTCAGATTGCAGCTACCAGTCAGATCCAAGACCGCTTCCTGACTGGTCTCCCCCCAAACCCCGCTTTGATCAAGTGGCATTTCATCATGTCCAACGTCAATCCTGTCGGACATTCTTCTTCAGCCTCAAGCCCCTCAAGCCCTCTAACCCCTCCTGGGAGGTCAAAGGGCCAAGTTCACATGGGTCTGACTTCGAATTTTCTGACTTCGATGATGAAAGGAACCTCCTTCCTTGACGTCGGACAACGGTGTCGGAGGCCCTGACCGGTCCGCAGAGCTGTCGCGGGTCCGAGCCACAGGACCACACCACCAACCTCTTCAACGGTGTCTTCTGGGAGCCTCCTGAGGAGGACTGGGCCTTGGAGGAACAACCGACCTCTTCTTGGACCCGACTGGCCTCAGGCCACTGAGTCACCACCTGCCATTTGGTAAGTCTGCAAAAACCATCGGAGACCTGCTGGAGGGTCCCAATCTGCGTCAATTGGAGACCATTTGCTTGCCGGGCGTCGGTGACACCCCACCCCGGGCGTAAGCGAGGGACCGACCCCGCGGGCCCCGGCGTCCTCGCTTTGTTGCTCGGCCTGCGGCGTGAGCGCCGCGGCTCAGGATCGGTATGTTTTTCAGAACCCAAGGCCTCCGAGGCGGGCGAGCGGGCGAGTGAAACAGGGGGTGAAAATCGGGACTATGAGTAGATGGCTCAGTGGTGATTCTGTGGATGAATCCAAACAAAAACAGGGGATTGGGGGAGTTCTTTTTAAAGTAGATCTCAAGCATTCTCAAGCATGTAACGTACCTGTGGTGGCTTTTGTGGTTCACAGCCCTCTGTGGTTAGAGATGGAAGCTGAGGATCGCTGCATATAGGGTTACCTGACTGCGTGGGCTTGTTGAGCTCTCTCCAGAACGAATTCTTCACCTCTTTTTGATATGCTGATGCTGGGCAAGAGTGGAAGACGAAGAGGAGGAGCCACCGCTCCACTGGGACCGTGCAACAGCCCAGCGATGAAGCCCTATGAAATCCTATGAATATATCAAGTCCCCCAAGAAACTATATCGAGGGTCCACAACTCAAAGGGTTCCAAGTGCCTGGCACATGTTAGTTGTCCCCTCCAACTGCGCAGATGCCCCTTACGACGTCGAAGCCCTCCGATCCCCCTCCGATGAATGGGCCCCAGGCCGGCCAACTTGAAGATCTACGAGGTGTGGGGGTCAGAGCTTCGACACGCCGAACATCGAAGCCCGAGACGGTGCCAAGCTCGCACACGAGCTCAACATTGGGAGTCCCAATGAGGAAACCAACATGACCAAGCTCAAGCTCTGCCCAGACCATCCATGGTCATCCATGTATGGAATAGATACTTTTAGGGTTGTTATAACTACATCATGTAATGTATATACACGTAAACTATTCCATATATATGGATCTATCGCTAAAGCAGATTGAACCATACTGAACCATGCTCCATTCTTCACCCGAAACCGATCCCTCGGGACTCCACTCGGAATCCATCTCCGCTCACCGTCACGGTGAGTGGTCCAGGTCAAGAGCCACCATGTCGACCGATCCTGGGAGGATCCCATTCAGGACCAGGTCGAACACAGCGAAGACCTGATCTCCATTCCCAGTCCTTTCCAGTCCTTCCTACCCTTCCCAGGTCTCCATTCCTTAGGTCTAACATGGTCTAACATGGATGCTTCTGGACGTGACTGACTGTCACCAGGTGCTGGTGACCTCTCGGGGTGCCCACAGATTCTTCCCTTTTGGTGGTTCAAGAGTTCTCCAGGTTCGGCTTCGCACGAGCCGAGCCGAGCCCCGAGGCCCACGTGGGAATGGGCTCGGTGGAGCCCAAAGTGGCCACCTACACGGAGTTCGCCGAGACGGTGCTGCCGCGCATCAAGCGTCGCTTGGGGGCGTGTGTCGTTTGACGCCGGATCCCTTTTGTTCCGCGCGGAGCTTTTGGGAAGGAGGAGGTCGAGTTTTTGGTCCAGTGGAAAAGAAGAATGGAGGACAGGTGTCTGGTGTGTGGGTCCCAGAAAAGCTGGTTTCGATAAATCTGAAGCGCCCTATCCACTGATGGGTAGAGCATGTTGGTCTACAAAATACTAGGGTGTTTTCCACTTCCATCATCAGAGGCATTCGCTTCGTGCTTTCGCCGCAGAACGGCCGCCGAACCGAGGCATGGGTTACAACGCGGTGCAGTTGATGGCCATCGCCGAGCATGCTCACTATGGCCCCCTGGGCCTTTAGAGTGAAGGGGAGAGGGGACGGAGGCCGATGGAACCGACGGATGCGTCCTTTTGGGTGAGTTCACTGAAGAAGGTCAAGCTTTTGATGGGAGCTGAAGAAGGGGAAGTCGTTCTGAAAGTACATGAACAACATGTATGGTGAAGGGAACCGATTGCGAGTTCAGATTGGGAGTAGATGGAGGAGAGGAATATCCAAAGACCAAGACAGCGTGGCACATGGCTGAAGTCTTTCCATATCCCATCCACTCGATGGCCAGGCAGCTTGACCAAGTGAGATGATCACCAAGCACAGCCTTGCGACTGTGCTAGGCTGTGCTGCCAGACTGGTGGCTGAGGTTGTTTTGGATATCACGTGACCTCTTTCTATGCCCCGGCCAGCCGTTCTGGAACCCCTGAGGAGCGGCCCCCGGGGCCGCGGCGGATCGCAGGCACTCCACCTTCACTTGTATCAGAGGTAAAGTAGGCCGTGCCACTTTTCCATGGAATGCATCATGCACGAGCATCCTCCAACAGCAGCATCCATTGAGAGCTGTTAGGGTCCAACAACCCTCTGGAGGAGACCTCCAACTTGACATAGAGAATGAATAGAATGGACCTCGATGATGATGATGATGATGATGATGATGATGATGATGATGATGATGA